TGAGAGTCCAGCCTTAACCACCACACTACCTGCTGGTTCCCTAAATTTGTGTATTTTCCCAAAAATCAAAGAAGAGAAGAGAAGAGAAGAGAAAGAAGAGAAAGAAGAGAAAGAAGTGGGGAGGGGAAGGGAGATGAAGAAGAGAAGAGAAGAGAAAAGAGAAGAGAAGAGAAGAGAAGAGAAGAGATAAAAGAAAACGAACGGAAAGGAAAGGAATAGAACGGAACAGAAAGGAAAGGAAAGGAAAGGAAAGAAAGGAAAAGAAAAGATAAAGATAAACTTTAGCAGCTCTGTAGCACTTAAAAAAAAAAACACATAGAATACTCTCCTGGAGACCTAGACCATATCTTCTCTCCAAATCGACTCTACACATTTTAGCTTTCCTTCTTACATCTTCTCTCCATTTCCTGGCTCTTTCACAGCCTAGCTCCTGTACCTGGAAGGTTCTCACCTCCTCTGGGTTCTATTTATTTTTCAAGGTCACCTTAATTATTCATTCCCTGGGAGGAAAAAAAAAAAGGATAAAATCAGCTAGTTAATAATATGAGAAAGACATATCAATATAGAACAAGGACAAACTTTTTTTTTTTTTCTGAATGACAAATTCAGTTTCTGTTATAAATTACTGTTACTAGTATAACTATTTTTTTGCTACGAAACCTTAGAGATAAAGGAATTTTTAAAGATGTCTTACAGTTTCATTTGAGAAGTGAGGAGGCTGGTTTTTCTTTGGGATGACATAAAGAGTGTTCATCTGGAATGTCCCTTAAGTAGTTGAAGTTGTCATACTTAGCTGGGTAAATCCTAGGGAGGGGCAATCTCTTAGGTGTTCGACAGGAGACAGAGGGAGGAAGACAAGAACACTAAACTCAGTGTAACTGACACAGCCAACACCGTTTTCTAAATTAAAACATTTGCTTACGATGTACCGGTTCTTCTTATTTAAATAAATCGGGTCCCTAATCCTACAAATGTGACTTCTATTTTACACATCAAGTCTGCTCATGACAATATTCCAGGTCATAGCAGGGTCCCCATGAGTGTATACATTTGATTCTTTCAGACCCAGCCCCAAATTCCCAGCCTCACCTATCATTGATTTAGGGGAGTTTTAAAGTAAATTTATGTAGACAACTCTAAATCATAGCAAAATCCTTTTCGACTTAAAATTTCATTTTCAGGAGGTAAAATAAAATTGTGGCAATTCAGGCGTTCAAGTTATAAGTGAGATATAAGATAATAGACGCATCTGAGATGCTCCTTCAGTTATCTCTCCTCTCTTCTCGTCTCTGCTCTGCTTTTTCCTCTCCTACCCCTCTTCCCTTCTCCTTGTCTCTATTTTCCTTTTGGTCATGCTTTTCATTTTGAGGTAAATGAGCCAATGAGAAGTAAAGACCCAAGCAAGTATTGATGGCCTAGAAACAGCCATAGAAGCCTTGATATTTTGTCACTGTCTTATTTGTAGGCACGGAGTATTATAAAAAATTTTCCGTTGGGATAATACTTTTTTAACTTTTAAGATAGTGTTCTTAACAAGAAGAATGGAACTCTTTCTGTAATGAGTTGATCATTTCTGTTATATAGATATGGTTTCATCCAGGTCTTTCACAACTCTATATTTCAACAGCGATTTACATGTATGGCATTTTAAATCAAGGGTTTTTTTTTTCCTATTTTTTTTTTCTCTTGGAGATATTGGTGGTATTTTTAAATTTCCAACAATAAATTGTCCATGCTTTCTACTAGTATAATGGAGTCCATGTTTGCAGACAGAAACAAAGAAACTTGTACTGTAGTTTATCTCACACGGGCTGAAAGGGTAAATGTGTACATTTCCTTAGACGTCATGGAGTATATCACTACCCCCATCCCACTCCATCTTTTTTTTAGTTGTTTTTAATTTTTTTAAATTTTTTTTTAATTTTTTGTCATAGAGCACATGTGGTCACCCTTGAGAGACAGAGACAGACAGAGGGACATTGAGAAATAACCACCGGGGGGGGGGGGGGGGAGGCCACATCGCTATCTGTTCTCCTCCATTCTCCTCTAGGGAGTTTGGGCTCACACGCACATACACCTGGCTTGAGTTTCGAGCCACCGGGTCTGGGACTGGAGCCGTAGTCCACCATGAGGACATTGAGTGACTTCACCACCATCAGCTGGTCTCACTTCTCCCATTTTTACCTTCATAGATTTTTTAGCTTTCTGGAATAGGCATATTAGAAATCATGTAAAATAAGTCTGAGACAAGTCAATTTAAAAAACTCGTGAATGAGCTTTGTAAAACGTGTCTTGTTCAATGTCACTGTTCCAGTACCTCAGTGGAATGTGACCTACGGCCTGAAACTCTCAGACTGAGTGGCCGACCACATTTCTTAGACAGTAGATAGCACTAGCGCGAACCACATTTCTGTGGAGGTCTTACGAAACAGTCACACCATAAGGAAACATGCTCATAAAAAGAAAACGATCTTTCCAAGTACATCATCTCAGATCTATGCAGTCAGGCTGATTTTTGTTTACTTCACATGAAGGGGTGTCACCGATGCCTGTTTGATGATCTGCCCCCAGACTGGATGCTCTTTAACACAACTCTTCAGGAGGACGAAGACCAGTGATGCTCACCTTGTGCCCAGCGTGTGTGTTGGACAGTGTGGCCACTCACTCCTCATAGTCTTATGAGCCTGGACTCTGTTTCGTGTGACAAGAGTACTAAAAATAGAAGTACAGTGTCCATGTTTATATGAACTGAAGTTCACCTCCTCTAGACATTGAAAACGACTGCATGGAAGTACAAGGGGATGGAAAGTCTTTATGGAAAAGTTACTCTAGCTGAGCCTTAAAGAACTGGTAGGACTTTGAAAAGGAAGGGGGTATGAGAGGACATTTTGGTTGAGAGTAGAGAGTGAGCAAGTTACTGATCATGAAGACCAGGGTTTAAGAAAAGGTGACTAAGCCAATGCAGGGTCAGTGCAGGAAGAATGCTCAAGGGCAGACTGGGAGGGTTCTGGATTTCAGGAGGAGACTCTGAACTTCATTTCTCTCTCTTTCTTCTTCTTCTTCTTCTTTTTTTTTTTTTTTTTTTTTTTTTTTTTTTTTTTTTTTTGAGGTTTTTACTATAGGGCACATGCACTTGCCAGAAAAGTCAGAAAGTGAGAAATCACCCCCCAGGGGGATGGCCACACCACAATCCTTTCTCCTCCATTCTCCTCTCGGGATCTTGGGCATGTATGCACATGTGCCTGGAGTGAGTTTAAGCCACCAGGTTCGGAACTCGAACCATGGTGGGCTACATGAGAGTCCAGTGACATAGCCATTACGCCAATTGCTGGTCCATGAGCTTTATTTCTTGTCACAGGAGTGCAGAATGATGTGGCCACATCCGCGTTTCAGAAGATGATGTGTATGGCCGCGGGGAGGATGGCTTAAAGAAAAGTTGGGACAAGGGAGAGCATATCAGATGGCTGGGCGAGCAACCAGAGCCTGTACTGTGGAGGGTATAATCGATATGAGCAAGCAACATGGCGGCCATAGACACCGATGCAGAAGGAGGGACAAGCTTCAGTGACAGAATGAATAGGGGGAGAGAGATACCTGACCATGACAGTGATCAGACTTCCTTCCCAGATTTCTCTTTGGCATGACCTGCTAAAGCATGGAGAAAGCACAAGGTAGAGCCCATTCGAACTCTCCCCCATGGAGACCCAAGAATCACGCTTTTTGCACCTGACCTACATATTGCCCCTTACCAGAGCTGTGTGTCTAATGGCCAGGGCCAGCTCTTAGTGAGAAAGCCTTGGTATTACAGCATGTGGAGATGACTGGTGAGCGAAAACACCATGGAAACATGGATTGCATGTGCATGAGAAGAGACAGCCATGCAGGCTGTTCAGGAACATGCACCATAATGATTAGTTTTCTACTGTTTTTAGAGGAGTCTTGTTTTTCTATTCAAGTGACACTAAACTCAGCGATTTAGGGATGCCAGTGGGTGGCAGTGTTGCATAGTGGAAAGAACACAGCTCGTGGGTTCAGAAGATGTGTGGGCAATCCCTGGCAGTGGGACTGACCATTCATTCTTGATTTCCCAACCCTGGATTACTAGATTTCCTTCAGAATCACATGGAGTTTCCTTTTAAACATAGATTCCTACACCCAGATGTAGGAGTTTGTGTGTGTGTGTGTGTGTGTGTGTGTGTGTGTGTGTGTTTTACCAATCTAGATAACTTTGAGTGAGTTAAATTTAGGAACTAAGTGACTTAATCTTTTTGAGTCACAGCTTTCATAGTATCACTATAGATGAGAAATGCATCGAGGTGGGTTTCATAAGCTTTAAATCAAAATAAAATATGCATTCTTAATTAGATTACTTTTTTTGATTCTATTACTTCTTGAAACAACTTTTTAAAAGATCTTATCAATTTCTCATAGATTTAAAGCTAGGCGACATGAGATCATATTATTGGGTCGTTGGAAAAGCCATGATGTGTTTTTTTCTTTTTCTACACAAAAATGCATCATCACTTTTCCAACAATCCAATATATTTAATTTTTACACTTTGTGACTAAAAGAAGAAATTAATAAATACAGTCTAATCTGGGGGCCAGCAGGTGGTGAGTGATTGTATAGGTTGATTTTAGTTTAATTCCCAGACCCAGCAGCTCAAAGCTCATGTGTATCTGTGCCCAAAATCTTGAAGTGACCGGGAACATGTGCGTGCGTGCCTAAGATCCCAAGAGGAGAATGGAGGAGAAGGGATTGCGGCGTGGCCATCCCCCCTGGGGGGGGGTGATTTCTCGCTTTCTATCTGTCTTCTCATGCAGCAGCAAAAACCTCTAAAAAAAATCAATACAATTTAATATATAAATTACAGTATTAATTGGATAATAGTTTCAAATGTTGAAAAGATAGAAAATAGAAGACCCTTGGTTGAATTTTTTTTTAAATGTGAACAGTTTTTAAAAGTAGCAAGGAAATGTAAGCAGAAATTACTTCTATATATTTTAATACAAAATATATTTATTATTGACTCTGGTAAATTTATGAATATATTCTAACCTCCTAATTTGAAAAGCAATAGCTTAAGTTAGATACACTGTTGTCATCTCTTACAAGACAAAAAAGATCAAACAAAACAACACCGAAAACCTGTACGTCAACAGTAACAATGGCGATTGTGAAATAGACTTTTTAAATAGTCAGTTCAAGTTGCAGAGGTCTCAGCAGCTCAATCTATTATAAAACCACGGGGCATAAATCCCAGTTGAACTTGAAGCCTATGGCCTGTTGCGATTTATTCACAGTTTCTGTGCATCTGGAGTTCCCCAGCCCTCCCAGTTCTGAGGGGTTTTCTAACACAGAGGTGGCCTTTATTTTCTGACAGTACCACCGGCCTGCCTTTCTCCTACACTGTCTCAGTTCTCATCTTGCTGTGAGTCTTGAACTCCACACCTGGATAAATTCCACGTGCCCATTCCAAGTCATTTGTTCTTCCTCTGCGTGTGTCAGGCCACCCTAAAAGGCCAGGGTGTTCTCCCAGGGAGCCGTGCTGGAACATTCTTCCTGTGATTGATAGTCTCTTCACTCTCCTGAGCCAGGGACTGTCACTTTAGGCTGCTAGGCTGAAGGTCGTTCAGGAGATTTAAGTAAATATCTGATTTGAGGAACCTGGGATAAGAGTCCTTTTCCATAAGAGTGTATATAATTTTCTGAGCTTCATCAAAGCACGTAGGGGTGGGTGCTTTAACTTTCTTAGCTGTAGATTCTCGTGTGCGGAAGTCTATATTGATCTATAGAAAAAGAAAATCACATTAGTTAATGCACATTTCTCATTTATTGAAGATTTCATGATGTTATTATGTGTTTGGAAGCATCTCAAAAAAACAACTTAAGACCTTCACTTAAGCCAGTTCAAAGAGCTCCTGAATACCTTTTCTAAACCAGCCCTGCCCTAGATGTAGAAAAGATGAAAAGAATATCACAAAAACGTCTGTTCCAAGTTTCCTCAGAGTCTGGATGGGAGATGTAAAAACAGGCAGACGTGAAAACTCTAAATACCCACATAGGTGATACCGAAATCAGAAACAGTAATGTGGGCACTGAACATTTACTGGAGGAAAAGTTTCTTTGAGCAGCTATTTTTTGCTTTAATCAAAAATATTTATCTGCAAGGTGGCACTCCTGCCCGCCGGAAATACTTAGCCGCTGCAATTGCACGTGGTACACTAATCTGCATTTTATTTTCATTCGAGATGAGGGAGCTCATTAAAGCTGGTCTGTAAGAACTCATACTCCTTCCCTCACAGTCATCGTACCGGCTAGAGCTGCAGAATCAATATCTTCATTCTACCGTGTTGTAATCTTCACAAATCTAGACTCTGTTCATTGCATCAAACTATATGGCTATACCTGTGTATATACAAGTCAAAACGTTTTGCACTGAAATAAACTTGTACTGTAATTCTGTTTTCCATTTGAAGCATATTCATATAGGTAATATAAAGCCTAACCTTTTCTGCCTAATGTGAAGTAGCTGGGGAAATGATATGTTGATTATTAACATGACGTTAATGCTCATTGCACTGAGCTATATAAATATACTTGCATATATAGACGTAGACTCATGACACCTGAAAGGATTTCACCTTGTTAAGGACGCTGAGTGTTCTTTATGTATCTAAGCTCCTTTCCACATAAATTGACAAGGATGTGCTCGCTCAATACTCACTTGCTTAGCAGCATCTGAATGCACAAATGCTTTGTATATCTTCTCTGCTTTGCAATGCAAATGATCAGAGTCCGTTTTTTTATAGTCTTCACAGGCCAGCCAGAACTCAATGTTCTCCTCACTGAACTCGGACTTTAGGAAGCTTCCAAAGACATCTAGACCAGCTAGAAAGAAAGACAGGGAGGAGATCATTAATTCACTGGAGCCGATAAATGGTGAACTTGAAGGAGAAATCTGTAAGAAAAATACTATTGCATTCTCTTTGCACAAAGGTCAGAGGTGGCTGGTGTTGAAACAGCTGCGTCATGGTTTGAAGAGATGGGAAAGCCTTAGAGACGCCTCTGTTTACAAAGACGATTCTGGGGCCAAATTCACGTGCAGTCTTATAGCTGTACACTCATGGCTAACTGTGCTTTGCTTCCATCTGCTATTTGAATTAAAATGATCTCAGGCCAGCTGGTGGTGTGGTGGTTAAGGCAGCTGGATCCCACATGGCCAGTGGCACCGCTTGAGTCCTGGACCCAATGGTTTGAAAAACGTGATAGGCGTGTGTGCATGTGTGACCAAAACCCCAAGAGGACAATGGAGGAGAAGGGATGACAGTGTGGCCATCCCCTTTGGAGAGTGATTTCTTACTTTCCTTCTCTCTGTCTCTCTCCGGAGAGCACATGCACCCTATGGCAAAAATCTTAAAACAAACAAACAAACAAACAAAAAAAGCTGCTATACTAATTGTGAAACAATCTTTGTCCTGATAAACACCAGCTCTTAGCCAGCATATGGTGTTTCAGGGAAGCAAGCATTGACAAAGGGCATTGACCTGTTAATAATTAACAGATGTATTGGGTCATCGAAAATGTCATGGTGCAGTTTTGCATAGAAAAATATGTCATGACTTTTCCAGTGACCCAGTAATTTCCCCAGCTAACTCATATTAGTCAGGAAAGGTCAGGCTTATATATTACCTATACGAAAGAATTTCAAAAAGTTCATGGAAAATGCAATTAAGTGACTATTTTGATGCAAAAAATTTTGAAATCTATACGTAGTTTTTTCATAGTATGCATTTTCCACAGACTTTTAGCACCCCATCTGCTAGTGTTACAAAGGCCATTTTATATGCTGCTCTCTGTTTGGCTGACTCAAAAACTGAGTCAGATAATAAGGTGGGTGCATTAGTTGAGCTGTTCAATCCCTAAGCAAGGCTCCTTAGGGTGCTGGTTAGGAAAGAGGATAAGCTCACCCTCTAGATTGAGACCACTGACCATGGCAGGGGTAGCAGGTTGATTTCATTCTTTCCCTTCTCTCCTTTGAAAATCAAGACTGTGTTTGAATTTTTTCATCTTCCCTAGGACACAGCCAGATCATGTTGCACGAATGCAATCATGTTCTTTGCGTGTGTCATCTGCCTTCAAGGTGATAAAAGGCAGTCTTCGTTTTTTTGAATAGTTGGTGCCTCTAAAATGCCAGCCATGCAAAGGCGGGATAAATGAGTTAGTGACTATGTGAATGTTGAGATAGTTACTGAATGAAGGAATGCATCGTCTGCATGCAGCTGCGTGGAAATGCATCCCACACACAGCGTCAGGACAGCGGTTCTCACGGTGAGATACTGGGCTTTCAGAAACGTTCAGCCTCAGGACCCCAGAGTGATTTTAATTTGGTTCCTGTAATGAACCGTGAAAATATCTGATTGTCTTCTCAGATCTGTCTCAAAGTCAGAAGCAGAACTGAGTGCAAAGCCAACGTCATGTGAGGATGAGGCAGGCTATCGGTGACCTCGGAACGACTAGCACACAGGGCATCCAGTTTTTCACACACCACCCGCCAGAATACTCCACTTGAACAACAGCCTTGCCATCTATCATGCTTCTGAGAGGAACCCAGAAATATTCTGCAGTTAATCCATACTTACTTTGGCTAGCAAGAAGTTTTTCCAGAGATTGAGACCACTGCATTACTTCGTCAGCAGAAAGTCTGCAGAGACAATAAATTACACATCAGTTATATAAACTAGTAACATAGTTTTATGCACAATAAAATGAAATAAAAGTGGCTGCTTCATTTTAATAATGGATTATAGTATGATTATAGTCTAAAAAATCTGACTAGGGAATTTGAAAAAATATAGATAAATAAAATCTAATGGTACAAAAATTTGAAGGGAGTGAATTTTTATGTACAGATGTTTGTATTTAATTGACATAGGTTTTACTACATATTGTTTTATTTAGCAGGTCACTAAAAGAAATAAAGTCCATTATGCACGAGGGTAGAGCGCCTCGCAGTAGCTGCTCTGGTGAATGGCGGCGGAGAATTCGCATACGTACATGTCTTTGGACTTGGCAGACCTCATTCCCGACTCCAGATGGGGGATCATAGACCTCAGGTACGCTTTCACGTCCATGCCACTACAAAAGACACCAAAATAAATATTTAAACTTCTCCAGTACAAGACATTTTATTTGTAGAGAGCAAAGAGAATTAAGTTCTCCAAGTCATAGGGTACCAATAAAAACAGTGGATACAGCATTGTGCTCTATTAAGATAAAATTCCTTTTTAGAAACCAAAGTCCAGCCAAAAACTCCACCTACTTTAATCCCATAACATGACTTATTTCAAAAACAACCGAATATTGCTTCTAACTCACAAGAGATCATCGCTCTGGGCCGAACTAAATGCTCACATTCTCTCCCACTCATTCTCAGTCCCTCTGTCCCTGAAAGTAGATTAAGTGAGACACTAAAAGAACTTACAACGTCTTTGGCCTCCTTTTTGGTGTTTTGTCGTCTAGAAGTGAGTGTCCAGCCCCTTTTAGCTCCTTTGGGTGAGCAGAGAAGAACACTCCTGGCATTTTGTCTACCCTGGGCATGGAGGAGGCTGCTGCTGGCATGGCCCTCTCGCGGCAAATGTCCCTGAGCCAGCGTCTGCTGCTTTATATAGTGAAGGCAGACAGGCACTTGCTGTTCAAAGGAGTCTGTTTATCAAGTGATGTTACCACAGACTCTGGAAGTTCCCTCTTTCTTGGTGTGGTGTGACGTGTAATTTGAAAAAAAACAGCCTATAGTGATGTCTTGTGGTTGAAACTTAACCAAATGAGAGCAGGTCACTTGATTAGAAAGAAAGAAAGAAAATTAAACACGCAGAGCCATACACACAGGCCCCAAGTCTGAAGCGTTAGCAACATCCGTTGTTGGTTCTAGGGGTGCTTGCTGCTTCTGAGACAGAATGCCTAGAAGCAGCGATTTCTTAGACATTGCGCTATGTCTCCAGCTACTGGAACGATGCTATTCCAATAGCAGGCTTCATCTGGGGCCTGGACTGTGCCACACGGAAACTGCGTGCAAGAGTCGCATCTCCCTCCGTGATTTGAATAGTCCCTGCCGTAAAATTCATCTGAGCACAGTATTTTCAGTCTTTTTGTTTTTTTCAGGGAAAGTTAAAGCAAACAAACCCTTCCTGTTCGGTTATTTCTTTATTTCTGGTAGGGAGGAGGGCTCGGAGAGGCGACCTTTACTTGTTCCTACTCTGACTCTCCTCCCCTCTCCGCCTGGCAGACAATGTTCATGTTAGGATTTGCCTAAGTGTGTGCTAGGCAGTCTGCTGGTGCTCTGGCAGGCAGTTGTAAGGGGCACATGGGTTTTAATATTTATTCTTCGTTAGAAATGTAACTAATACATCAAATTGTGATTGCTTTTCACATTACTACCTAGCGAAGTAAAATTAAAACAAAATGGAGCCAGCAGGTGGCGTGGTGGTTAAGGGCACTGGACTCTCACATGGCTGACTGCGGTTTGAAGTCCCAGACCTGGTGACTTGCTTTCTCATTTCCTCTCTTTTTTTTTCCCCTCTCTAGTCGAGTTAAAATAATTAATTAATTAATTAATTATTTTTAACAATTAAAACAATTATAAATAAATGGAAGTATAGTTGACATGTAATTATGAAAGAATATTAAAATATACTGACAGTACACACACACACACACACACACAGTATCAGAGGTTAAACTTCCCCAGGTAAAGTAAGAGTATATTTGAATAAGCAATAATGTGGTCATCTGAGGTAATGACGATCTTCCAAATGTTGGCAATATCTCTGGAGAGATATAATTTATTTTTAATTGAGATAAAGAATTAAAATACAAAAGCAAAAGTATGAGCCCCATGGCCCTAGTGGTTAAAGGAGCTGGAACCCACATGGCCAACCCACAGTTCAGATCCAGGCCTCAGTGGCTTCTCCCTCTTCCTCTCCTCTCCCTCTCTCTCCATCTTTCTGTCTCTTTCTGGCAAGCACACCTGATCTTTAGTTAAAAAACAAAACGAAACAAAACAAGGTATTAGATGACCGTTGCTGATCAAGAAAGGTTAGTGCAATATAAGCTTTTTTTTTTTTTTTTTTTTTTGAGAGGTTTTTGCTATAGGGCACGTGAGCTTGCCAGAAAGACAGAAAGCAAGAAATCAACCCCGTTGGGGAAGGCCATGCTGCAATCCCTTCTCCTCTATTCTCCTCTCGGGATCTTAGGCACGCATGCACACACGCCTGGCGTGAGTTTAAGCGGCAGGGTCCGGGACTTGAACCGCAGTCGACTACATGGGAGTCCAGCAACATAGCCATTATGCCAACTGCTGGTCCCAGCTCTTACAAGGTTTACCTATGGAGTATGGTTTATTTTTAGAGTGCCTGGTTTCACTTAGACATTTTGATTTTTGTCTCTGAGAAGATAAAACAGGTTTTACTTAGGGAGGTCTCTGATGGTGTTAAGTAAAACTGACAAAAGGATGTAAAATATTTGCAAGAAACTCACAGTAGTACAAGATTCACTGACTACTTAGTCACAAACATGTATTTTACATGTAATAAATATTGTTTGATATTTCAAAGATAACGCACTAAGGAAGAGCACTAGCGAGATGTGTTGGCCACTGTGGAAATGACCTGAACAAAACTAATGGCACTTGAAGCCTGATGACATAAAGTCATTTATTTGTATACTTCCTGTGGTTCAGTCTGTCCTTTTTTTTTTTTTTTTTTAACTTCAGCCTTCCTCATTTTGTTTATCTAGTGACCTCGCATTCTGCTAGGTCACTGCAGTAAGTCGTATTAGAGAAAACTTACTTACAGCTTAAGAAGAGGCCACTGTAATCATATCATCTTCCAAATATGCTGACACTTTCCAATGTTTCTGCAAAACTAATTCCTTTGAATGCTAATACACATTATAAGAGTAATAGCAGTCTGGGACCATCCAATGGTGTAATGGTTATGTTGCTGGACACTCATGAAGTTTACTGTGGTTCAAGTCTCCGACCCAGAGACTCAAAACTCATGTGGGGGCTCATGTGCGTAGGTGCTCAAAATCCTGAGAAGAGAATGGTGGAGACAGGGTTGCAGCGTGGCCATCCCACTGGGGGTGATTTCTCGCTTTCTGTCTCTCTGTCTCTCTGGTGAGTGCATATGCCCCATAGTAAAAATCTCTCTCTTAAAAAAAAAAAGAAAGAAAGAAAGAAAGAAAGAAAGAAGGTTTGGGGACCAGATAAGAATGGAACATGTTAGCTTTTCTACTTTTTAAAGAGCTGAACCCTCTTTAGGAAGGAGATGGAGTTTATAGAAGTAATGTTCTCTTGATACCACATTAAGAAACTTTGGTCTGAGGGCAAAATAGCTATTTGCCTCTATGGATTAAGGAATTGCTGTCAACCTCCAGTATTTTAATGTAGACTTTCAAGCTTAAGAATTTGCAAGCAGGGGGCCGGTAGGTGGCGTGGTGATTAAGGGCACAGGACCCCACATGGTTGACCACTGTTCATTTGAGTGCTTTCTCTCTCTCTCTCTCTCTCTCACTCTGGTCAAATTAAAATAAATAAATAAATAAATAAATAAATAAATTAAAATAAAATTAAGTCTTAAAAAAGAAAAAGAATTTGCAAGCAATTACAATTGCATGCTTTCAAACTCAAATAGAGAAATAAATTTGGAGAGAGGAGTCCTGAACTTGGCTGTTGACATCACCTTAGTGGCACTCTCTAGGGCTTAATGGTACCCACTCTCGAGGGCTGCCCGCTAGCCATGAAGGTCTGGGTGTGTCAGACCAAGGCCCTGGTGGTGCCATTGCACAGCAGGGGCTGACGAGTCTATGGCAGGGCACTGAGTAAGTTCCCTGTGTGCGTCACACGGAGTGGCCCCTCTTAGTGAAATTCATGAGGAGTCCAAGTATGAAATAGCTTTAAGGTTAGCTAAGTGGGTCCGTGTGGGGATTCACTATGATCAATGAACCCACGATGTCATGTCATTATCATCTAGAGCTGGTCTTGTGCATTGGGCTTCACTCTTGGGTCTTGGGGCCACACATTCTATGGGCTTTGACACATGTATAATGATATGTATCTATCATGATAGTATCATAGAGAATAAATACTCGCACACACGGCTGGCTTGATTTCCAAACCACTGGGTCCAGGACTTGAACTGCATAGTTGGCCATGTGAGATCTAGCACCTGAACCTACATACCACCTGCTGGCCCTTCAGTTTAATATTTTATTTTATTTATTTATTTTGGAGAAGTTTTTGCTATAGGGCACGTGCACTCACCAGAAAGACAAAGACAGAAAGCGAGAAATCACCCCCCAGGGAGATGGCCACGCTGCAATCCCTTCTCCTCCATTCTCCTCTCGGAATCTTGGGCACGCACACACATGTGCCTGGCGTGAGTTTAAGTCACTGGGTCCGGGACTTGAACCACGGTCGACTACATGGGAGTCCAGCAACATAGCCATTATGCTATCTGCTGGTCCCAAGTTTTATATTTTAAACTACCTAGGAAATTAGCTCAATAAAACATTTCATAGTGTGGCTATTGATTTTGGTGAGAAGTATGAAGGAATTTGTAATCTTTGATGACTCTTTTGGCCCCAATTTGTCCAACTACCTGAATTCTAATAGAAAGTACTTGAATAAATGACCTGGACCCTGGTGGCTTGAAAATCATGCCAGTGCATGTGTGTGCCCAAAATCCTGAGGGGAGAATGAAGGAGAAGGGGGTTGCAGCTGGCCGTGCTCCTTGGAAGGCGATTTCTCACTTTCTCTCTCTCTGTCTTTCCCCAGTGAGTGCACACGCCTTACCGGGGGGGGGGGGTGGAGGAGAGTCGTTATGACATGTAAACACAAAACTTTGCAGACTTTTTTTTGGGGGAGGCTCTGAATTAGCATAACAACTCAATAATTATAGAGTTAGGACAACACAGCGTGGGTCTTTTTTGGCTTCTGCAGCCTTCTGAGCCTTCAAGGCTTACATGCAGGGCTACTGCCAGTGTCTTGGCCAAAATTCAGAGTTTATTCGACAAAGCTTAAGCAAAGGTGAATTTGGAAGGCTTTTTCCTCTATGTGTGTGGAGTGTTGGTGGGGACATTAATGCCTATTTTGAATCGTCGAACAATGAATGGAACATTTTAGATTTCAATTTTTCTAAATGAAGACTCTGCTGATAAGTTTAATAAGGGAAGCAATGCAGAACTCAGAGAAATTCAGAGATCCAGTAAATGCAACTGAGCAAGATAAGAATCTAGTTTCTTTTTCTCACCCTGCTCTAATCTACTTACAGTAGACACAGAACAGCTCCTTTTTATAATTTGAGCATTTATAAGAAAACTGAACATGGGACCTTCAGTGAACTGGGTTCATGAGATACGCTGAGCCTCATTGACCCAGCTCATCTGACCAATTAGGTTCTTCTTCCTGGGCCCATTTTCAAAGCCACTCTTGCAAGTCAAGAGGTCTGTACTGAATACCATGTCTGATGTAGTTCCTGCACATCGGATTCATTTGTACTTATTATCACTCTATCATTTATAATCCTTTCAACAAGGAATGAGTAGTCATGTGTGACCATATATATATTTTTTTGAAGAGATTTTTGCTATGGGGTGCATGCGCTGGCCAGAAAGACAG